TTCATAGAATAAATCATGTGCTGCATAAAAACCTGCCTCAGGAAATCTCTGGCAGAGCAAGCTGGCCCTCCATACGTTGCTTTCAAGTCTGCAGTTGGTGTTTTTTGTTCATTTGGCGTTCCTTATGATGGTGACAAGGAAACCCCAGCTACACTTCGGGAGTCATCCTTATTTTCTGTGGAAGATACACGCTAGGTTAATTTCTTTAAAGGGATGTAAACTTTACTTTGGTCATAGTTACTACTTAAAACCAAACAAAAGCTAATTTTCCTAGCCTAATTCAGATTTCATACAGAACTGAAGTTTAACTGCATTGCCATGGAGTGAATTTTAATCTCACAGTTCTTATAAACTTACCAATGCAGTAGCCATTAGCCACACCTGGCTATTAAACACTTACTTTGCATCTGTCCTGAATGAAATGTGCTATAACTATAAAATTCACAATAGATTTTGAGATTAATATCAAAAAATATTTGTATAATATATCATCAAAATGTTATATTGATTACATTTTGAAATGATATTTAAAAAATATTAAATTAAGTAAAGTGTTAATAAAAATAGCCCGGCTGGTCTGGCTCAGTGGTTGAGCATAGACCTATGAACCAGGAAGTCACAGTACAATTCCCAGTCAAGGCACATGCCTGGGTTGTGCGAATGTGCAGGAGGCAGCCAATCAATGATTCTTTCTCATCATTGATTTTCTATCTCTCCTTCTTATTTCCTCTCTGAAATAAATAAAAATATATTTAAAAATAATGATATAACTTCACATGCTTCTTTTCACTGTTTCCTCCAAGTAGCTAGATATGTAACTGCAAATATATTTCTACTGGTCATGTGTTTAGACATGTAATTATGGATGTCTTAAGGAAGACCATGCATTAGTGATGCTTTCAAATATTTAAGAAAATTTTAGTAGTTCAAGATTTGGAGTCCTATAGTATTTTTTATTTAAAGACTATTTTTTTTCATTAAATATTTATTTTTATATTTTCTTGAATTGTTGCTAATAATTTAATTTCTATTGTAAACATATATGTATATAAATTCTAAATAATAATATCATGATATTAATAGCATTCTTCAAGAACAACTTATGTTATCTGTATCAATAATATATAGACAATAATATTCTATATATAGTAGTACTATATACTCATTTGTTCATTCACTAACATCTCATGAAGACCTATAATATGTTAGGTTTAGGATATAAAGTTTGGCAAACTTAGTTCGTGTTTTCAAATAACTCACAATCTAGATTAAATAGACAAACAAATATTAGTGAGAGTAAGAATTAAAAAAAAATGCATTTTGATAGAA